TCTCGGCCACCGACGTCTCGACGCTGCCGAGTGTGCTGCGGCAGCCGCGCAGCGTCACGACGGATGCGCGGTACGGCGTCGTCGTCGCCGACTATGGCAACCACGTGCTGCGCGCGCTCAACGGCTCGGACGCAGTGGACCTCGCCGGCACGCTCGGCCTCGGGCCGGGGTTCGCCGACGGCCCCGCAGCGTCGGCGCAGTTTCACAACCCGTCGGGCGTCGCCGTCGCGCGCAACGGCGCCATCTACGTGGCCGACTCGTCCAACAACCGCATCCGCAAGCTCTCGGCGGACCGCGCGACGGTGACCACGGTCGCCGGCAGCGCGACGTCGGGTGACGACGACGGCGACGACGCGACGTTCAACGTCCCGACGGGCCTCGTGCTGCACCGGGACGCGCTGTACATTACGGACCTCAACAACCACGCAATCCGCCGGCTCGACCTCTCGACCAACGAGGTCTCGACGCTCGACTTTGACGCGGAGCTACAGTACCCGCACGGTATTGCCCGCGACCGCTGCGGCAACTTGTACGTGGCCGACACGTACAACGACCGCGTCCTCAAGATCGATCCGGTTACAGGCGCCGTCGTCGTGCTCGGTGACGTCGAGCGCCCGGTTGGCGTCGCCGTCAACGCCAAGGACGGCAGCGTCTACGTGTCCAGTCCGTCGCTGCAGCAAATCCTGCGCCTTGCACCGTCCGCGTAAACGTGTCGTATGTTATAAGTATAAACGGAGATACATTGATCTCCCTTGCCACTACGAAATGCATCACCACCTTGGATCCTACTAGTATCGTCTTATTGTCCATCATTCGGCAAAAGAGGTGGTACGTGTTGTCCATGACGACGATGACCCTGGTATCGGCGCCTGTACAAAGTTCAGCAGCGCTCGCTAGGATCTCCCGCTGCGAGATGGCTGCAGCGGTAAGCTTTTGGCACTTCTTTTCTATGGCGCTGGCACGACCATCGACAAGGTGGCCCAGGTATTCGCATCCCGTGAGAAGAGAATGCGTGCTCCTACCAAGACCGGAAGCGCCATACCCACGAACCTCGAGCACCTCGACTGTTGACTCTAAGATCTGAGGCCACCCACAAGATCTGATGCGCCATGGCGTTGGCTGAAATACGCCATTCGACCAGCTACAGCGTCAACCTTCAGTGCGGTCGCTGCAGTCGGCAACTGTTGCTACTAGCAGAGAGATAATTTATCTCTCAGTGCTTTTCCCCATGGCTTTTCCCTTGCGTTTTGCTACAGACGTCGACTTGCCCTTGCTCGCGAGCTCGATGCGCGTGAGGAGCATGCGAATCTTGGACGCAGGAAATTCATCGCCGCAGTCGCACGCAGCGCGCGTCCTCGAGTACGCGTGGTGCACGAGAGGCTTTGTCTATTTGCGCCTATGGCAGACAACAGTTTTCGCATCACCAATTACGCGTTTCGGCGCCAAAAATACCAGAAAACAAATCCAAGCGACAATGCACCCGGTGGCCCGCCGGGTCTTCCTCGTCCTCGCGTTCCTCAAGCTGCTGGCGTCGGGCACCTACTGTCTCCTCATGGCAGCACTTTTGCGCTTTGCCTCGCCCTCGGACGCCATCAAGTACCAGATCTTCGCCATGACGACATATAGCTTTGGCACGTACGCGGTCTTCGGTCTTCTCTACTGGCTTGGCGCGCTGCACGTTCTCTGCGGCCGACGACCGAGCTGCTTGGACGTTCTATCGTGTCGCTTGATTTCATCCACGTCGGCGCTGCCGTGGGCACTCGGAGTGCAAATCCTCCAAACGTGCGTGCAGTTACTGCAGGCGTACCGCCTCAGTCAGCACGCTGTCAATTTGGACATTGCATTTGTCTACCCGATGCTCGTCGGCCTCTCGACGGCCGTGAGTCCGTGGTTCTTTCTCTTCATCGACCCATTCGTGCACCGCGACCTTTGGCTGCTTTTCAATTGCCTTCTCAGCTTTGCCTTGGCCTCGGGGTTGTACCTCGTTGCGGTCGTCCCGCCCTTGCTCTCGCTCAAATTTGGGGACCCGCGACAGGCATTTTCGATGGCCTGGACCACCGAGTACACGCTACTGACCCGCTACATGGTGCCCATGTCGCCGATCG